CTTGAAACTACCATGGTGAGCTAAAAACCGTGGCTTGGAGGATTTCCAACTGACGGGATAACTCGGACCGCGCAGTCAGTCCAGTATGGGTCTTGTTGTGTGGAGTGACTGATTGGCGGACTGAGATTCAGGCTGCAATGGTTCCTTCTTAGCGTGGCCCCTATGGCACTCCCGCGTATGCCGGAGCCTACCTAGGAAGGTGTTGCTGTGGCACATATTGGAGTGTTGGCCGCGTCAGACGCCTGCGCCCTCCCCTATCTCTGGTCTTCTCGACGTTTTTTTCTTGACACCAGGTACATGTAAGGGAGTGATGAGAGTGGGGTAGATTCTGTGCGAGTCTACTTTCATCGCTTCTGCCTTAAACTTGCTGAGGCTTGTGGCGGACATCTTCGAAATCGACGGTCAAACTGTCGTCAGGAAATAAGAACAGGAGTTACCTGTAGTACAGGTTGTTTTGCGCTTAACTCCAGGGAAATGACGGAAAGTGCAAGGGCTAGGGTTAAGGTGAGGGTCCGGTTAAGACATAAGTTAGGACACGGGAGTATTTACCTTTCCTCGAACTTAGCGCAAATCTACCTGTACTAAGTGAGCGGGGCATTCTATCACCGTCTCCTGGTTGGAGACCACAAACAGTTGCGACCGGATAGGTTGCTCCAGCAAGCCAAGTGCCCCATCAACTAGGGTAAGTCGGTGTGCAGTAAGAACGTCGCAGCGCGACGTGACGCTAGGTCAGATGAAGTGAAAAACATATGGAAAGGAATGGCCTCCGCGAAAATTAGTATTCGATACAATAACCGATTATCCACGTAGCCTGAACTAAATTCAAATAAACAAGAACCATGCTCTTAGTCGGTGTGAAAGGAGAATGATAGACTGTTACGCATGAACCAGGCCCGTGACAGTCACCCCGTCAATGTCATCTTCGAATTTAATTTGCTCTGAACATCATGCTCGACTCCCTTCCTCCAAGAACTGAACTGCATGCCCGAGTTCCCTTGGGCTCTCTTGCGTGTTAGGACTTGACTCCTTTGCTTCCAGTTGAATACACACTGGGTTTGAACTAGTTCCCCGGCCAAGTACCCCTTAAGTGCTACTTGAATACTGCCCCCACCTCCCCTTCGGCTCTTTTGCCTTTTAATCAACTGTTTCAAGAGCCACTTGAATACGCTGGTACCCCCTCTCTCGGCCTTCA